CTGAGTGGTTGAAAGCAATGTATTCATCCGCTCTAAGCATTGAGATAATTTCTGACGTAGAATTCAGTCGCCGTCTTGTAGAATCAAGATCAGACAAGCTAAAACAAGTTAAATCGTAACCGGTTCACGCTGATGACGAGTATACTACGGCACATTTTTTCTGAATAATCAATTTACTTTGTATCTTTACTGTGTGTGTATGTAATCATTATACTGAATTAAAATTTACACATTATTAAAATAATAATATAAATTAAATATTTTTTATTTCATTTTAATCAAGAACATGATTTTAAAACATGTCGCCGTCTGCTTCGCCTGCAAAATTAAATTCATGAGATTATAAACATAAGTTTTCTTCAGGTCTGTATGCCTTCATAGGATAATGGTTAGCGTAACTGAAAACTATTGTCCTGTGGAGACATTTTGATCTGAGGCCGTGAGTTTGAATCTGGATTTTTTTTTAATTTGAGCGTTATTTACTTCCATCATTTTAAAATCTATAATTAGTGTACATTTTAATCAATAGGTGGCGCCATGAGCACGTTTAACATTCCCATACTTCCATTTTTTGTGCATTTTTTTTTTTTTTTTTTTAAAAACAACTCAACTTAGCTGTAAAAAAAAACAATTCAACTCGCCCCCTCAGCTCGAAAACCAAAGCCAATGCAGGAGAAAAACAACTCAACTCGTCAGTAGGAACGAAACAACTCAACTCAACAGGGAGAAAACAACTCAACTCGGTAACATGAACGAAACAACTCAACAGGAGAAAACAACTCAACTCAGCAGCAGGAACGAACAACTCAACTCGGCAGCAGGAACGAAACAACTCAACTCGTCAGTAGGAACGAAACAACTCAACTCGTCAGTAGGAACGAAACAACTCAACTCAACAGGAGAAAACAACTCAACTCGTCAGTAGGAACGAAACAACTCAACTCTGCACTGCCGTCAACCGCCTACAACCGCCTGCAACCGCCTACAACCGCCTGCAACCGCCTACGACCGCCTACTACCGCCTACAACCGCCTGCAACCGCCTGCAACCGCCTGCAACCGCCTGCACCGCCTGCAACCGCCTGCACCGCCTGCACCGCCTTTACAGCAGAATCGGCTTTTTCTACCTACTGATGTGCTTTCCTTCTGTTAAACACGGTGAGTTCTGATAGTTCTTTTGGAGCCATTTTGATTTTTGGCTCGGGCTCGACACCGACCACAAAACTGGGTGAGGTCGATAGCTCTGATTTTAACCACAAATGGTGTGGTTATTCTAGAAATGTCTATAACGGATTATGAGCAGACTTTGGGTTATGTATAACTTGACTGCTCAAGCAAAAGGCGTGGACTGTATACTTTAAAAATGTTTGTTTATTGAGGACGGTAGGTACGTCCGCTCCGTCGATGTATTACAAGCATACTGACGAAATGCAAACAAAGAGGACTACTAGCGCCCTCTGCACATGCGGGTCGTAACATAGATAAACAAAAAAGTTCCGTTTTTGAACTATTAAACAGATATGAACTTTAGCAGGCATGCTTTTTTTGTTGTTGCGAGAACGATTCGTTAAAAATAGGGTTTTCAAAAATCATCTCCTGAGGAAAACTGCAGGGGGAGGCTTTATAAAGAAAAGTGTCCATTTTTGAATCAATACACCTACAGACTTGAAACTTGGCAAATATGTTTTTTTTATTGAGTACAGATCGGTTATGTACAGGTTCTACGGAAATCGATTTCCAAGGAGGGGGGGTTATAAGTTTGTTGCAGGTGAAAATTCACAATAAATCTATAGACTTGGAACTTTGAAAGCATGTTCGATTCGTTGAGTAGAGATTCGCCAAGATCGCATTTCGCGAAAATTGATTTTCAAGGGTAAAAGAGAAACATATTTTTTTATTAGAAATTCAAGTACTATAATTTTTAAGTGAAGAGTAAGGGCTATAAAAATGTTTTTGAATACGAACGAAAGTTTAATGCAAAGGCTTAGATTTCAAAAACTTAAAAATATGTTTATAGTTAGACATTATCAAGAAACACCAAGCGAAACAGTTGCAGGAAGCCAGGGGCTTAGTTACCACTGTAGCAATGATACGGGGCCCCAACATGTTAAAGTAAAAAAAATCGTAAAATATTAAGAGGCCCCAAAATGGGTCCACAAGGAATTTTGATATAGGATTTCCCCCAGGATTAGCCACACCAGTGGGTAAAGGCCAGTTTCACATAGAAATCATATGTTACGAAATTCACAACCCTCTTTAAAAGCTCTTTATATAAAAAAATATTAAGGAATTAAGCTGTTGCACTTTATTATTTTATAATAATTATATATATATACTAACTGGTATGCCCGTTCTTTGCACGGGTGAACTGAAAAATTGAACGACACAGATTGAAGGATAAAGAAGTTTTTAATGAGTTAATTTTACGTGAGTTGCAAATTAAACAAAAAAAGCTTTTCATATCTCAGCTAAAAAAAAAAGAACACCTTTGTTAAATTTTAAGTATGTAGATCTAATAGCTGATAAAAAGGATTTTTTTTTGTTTATAATTCCCCGAAACACTCTTGAGGGTCGATTTTTGAAAATACCTCTCTAAGCTGATCTCTGCTCAGCAAAAGTAACACATTGTTATAAAAGTGTTGCGTAATGAACGTGTAAAATAGTGTAAATAATTTATATCTGAAAGTGTAATACATTAATATTACTTTCTGTTGTATTTATTTTATGTTAAAATTGTAATATTCGCAAGCAACGCCGTTTCTTAAATTATAATGGCTATAATGGAGATTCAATGAAAAACACAGCGAAATGAAAACGATAGTGAAGTTGGCAAATGTCTAGCTACTTTCATAGTTCGAGCTTTATTAGAGCTTTGTAAGACCCGCCGTGTAGGGGTACGAAACACGCTAATGCTTTATCTACCGCATTATGATTTACTGCAGTTTTTTTCATGCAATATTTTTTTTGGATCACTACATTGAAAATTAAGGGATATACATAAACAAAATACTCCACTTTGGGAAATTTAATCCGTTAGAGATAATAAATTAATTAAAGATATTCAACTGTAAAATTAATTATTGACACCGTTCACTTAAAATAAATAGTCAAATCGTTTTCTAAAGTTTTCATTAACATACAAAAGCATACGACACTTAAATTTTGACAAACTATAAAAAATAATAATAAAAATAATTATATTTGCAAAATAAAAATATAATATTTGCAATCCGCTGAAAACGCATATCTGCTACAAAACTGTTCGCCTTCCCCGCTAAAATACTTCTCATAAGACCCGTGCTGCCATGTAACTTGGAAGAGTGGATTTCAAAAAATATTCCTGCTAAGTATTGGTAGAATATTCCTTCTAAGTTGGCGTGGTGTGGTAGTTAAGAGAAGGGAGTGCCAGCTCAGGTGTCATCCACGTCACTTGACCATGGTTCAAAATTACGTGGTCCGTTGCCAAAAGCCGTCGTGTAGCTGAACAGTGTGATGTTAATATTCATTCACTCCAAAAAATACAGTACAGTAGTTATAATTATTTTTATCCTTAAAAATGCAACATCCGCCTATTCAATTAAAATTATAGCGTTATAATTAACTACTAATTACAAAAAAACTGTGGAAATATGTCCAAATGATGTAGTGTGAAAGACAAAGTTTATCTACTGTAAGTACCAGAAGCAATAAAAGTATTTATTTTGAAAAATCAATTCCTTACTACTAAATGTGCATAATAAAATCATTAAAAAAACATTCAAATAAAGAGAGATTTATAACAAGTTCTCCCTTCAAAACTTAGTTTTATTCTGAAATAAAAAAAATTAGGGATTATGCTGTTTACAGGAATTAATTAGAAGTGAGCGCCTTGTGTAGCCAAAACAAAAAGAGTTCTTTCACAAACAAAAGATAGATATATGCTGATGTGGGCTTTTTTGCAGCGCAAGCCAGAATTGCTTGCAGATGGCTGAATTTTTTCCTACTTACTTGACAAATATCGTTGTATTTTGGACACTTCTTACAATATCTTTATAAATTATCGCCTATGTGTTATTCTGATGAATAAGCTATATTACTGTAAAGTTTCATTAAAATCCATTCAGTTGTTTTTACGTGAAAGACTCCCAAACATCCTCACAAACTTTAGCCTTTATAATATATATCTAGTTTAGTTCATAATCAATTGTTAAATACTTGAATTTTATTTTAGTAGTAATTAAAAATTAAACCAAAATACTTTTAGATTTAGATTTAAAAAATGCCCAAACTTTTTTTTTTCTAAAAAAATTGTATTCTGGCATAGCAATTAAATACAGATTGTAGATTATTTTAAATCATAATTCTTATTTCTGCTTGAATTAACCGATCCTCTACCCAGTGGCGTAACGAATATTAGCCCCCTTCCCTAAAAGTCAGGTTTTGGCCCCCCCTAGATTCCTTAGCTTCCTCAGTGTGGGAGTGTACGTTACGCCACTGCCCCTAGCCCCATAAACTGCACATCCCACATTATGCTTACGGGATTTAAATATCTTAGCTATTTTTTAAATTACGAGAGTTTAAATGAAAAATTGTACATTTATTTAATAGTTTTTAGGTGTTATAAAATGAACAAATGTTCAACAAACTCAGGAAATGAAACCGACTTATCTGACACAGAAAAACCTCTTAAACGTAGAAAATCTTCATTAATGCAGAAAATACCTCTCTCTCTCTCTATCATCAGAGATTTAAAAAAAAAATTTTGGATGAATGTGTGAAAAATTCGTGATAATATTGAAACCGAATTTTTTTAAAAAAATTAATAGGATCTTTGAAATTTATATTAAAATCGGTTGGATTGCATTAAAAATTGTCACTAAGGGGTATACCAAAAAGATAGAAAATACCGTATTCTTAAGAATAATGGAAAAATTGTAAATGACAGGAACTCTCTCTCTCTCCCCACGCGCGAAAAATGAGCGTATTATTGCTCTTTTAAAATAGTTTCCTATGTAGTACCAGTCCCATTTAGTCTAGTGGAAATGATTTCTGGGTTTCACCCAGGGGGCCCGGGTTCGATTCCCGGTATGAGAACTCTTGTTTTATGATTATTAAATCGTACTTTGAACGTTACATGCAGTGAATGGAGTAAAATTCTCAGCCAATTCAAATTTTATAGATGAAAATTGTGAACCCCCTCCCCCCCTAAATGCTAATATCATGAATCTACTTTCAAGCCCTTATACCTCAGTCGATAGAATTTGGATTACAAATTCGAACCTTCTCGCGGGTATAGGAATTAATTTTTATTTCTTTTTCGACTGAATGAAAACTAACTTAGTCACTTAGTCGTAGCCTAGTGGTCAAGGTAACGGACTCGTGGCCGGCATGTCATGAGTTCGAACAAAGTACCGCTGAAGACCCACCGTGCTGGGGGGCGCAGCATATTAATCCTGTAGAAGCTCAAACGTTCCCCCTTTGGTGTGATGTAAAAGTTAGGAGAGGGAAGTGCCAGCTCAGATGTCGTCCCTTGACCATGGATCAAAATTACGAAGTCCGTCGCCAAAAGCCCTCGAGCAGCTGAATAGTGCGACGTTAATATTCATTCACTCCCAGTGGCGTAACGGAGGCTCCCCCCCTGCAAAGTCAGGTTCTCGGCCCCTAGCCGGATCTTACAAAAAATACATACTTAGCGTATGTCAAGCTTTGGGTCTCCTAGAATCCTGTGCCCCCCCTCCCAGCGAAATGCGGGGATGTACGCGCGTTACGCCACTGCTCACTCTAATCGTTTGGTTATTCAGAATGCTAATTTTATTTCTTGTTGCGGATGGACAGAATAAGTTTGTTCGCTGCTTCGCGTGAAAGCAAACTATGAACATCTAATTTCAAATTCCTTTTGTATAGATTTTTAATTTCAATGCGTTTAAATTAAATTTTATTTTTTATACAACTTTAATAGTATTATATGAAATTCAATTTGTGTGGCCATGATGAGGAGGTAAATGTGGGGAAGGCATACAAATTCCATAACGAATACGCCTTAGCTCAGTGCTTCTCAAACTTTCAATAGTTGTGACCCAATTTTCAGTTACAACAATGTATTGAAAGTAATAATAATGTACATGGACGCGAAAACGACAGTACAGACTTCATAGTGCATCGTAAATTATCTAGATAAGTATTGTTGTTGTCGTGTCTTTCGCCAAGGGAAGGAATGAAAGTTGCCAGAGCCTGAGACAGGTTGGGCTTCTATACGATAGATGGCGTTACCACCTATCTCCACCTCCACAATTTTGGCATGGAACTGGAAGGGAAGGAGATATTCTCCAACCCCCTGCACCTGTGGCTTCTGCTACGATCGCCCACAAGACTTTCGAAACCACTGATTTAACGAGCGCGTACTCCGTGTGTACTCGGAGGGTATTTGGTAGCATCGGGCATCGAACCCAGACCCTCCGGATGGGAGCCTGATGCTTTAACCCAGGGATGGGCAGACTTTTCCAGGGTACGGACTACTTCTAATTTCTTCAAGGTGTTGCGGTCCTCCTAGTTGCGTAGGTGCAGTGAGCTAAAAGAAAGTATACAAGGCAATCGGACCATTTTACGCATTGCTCTTTTTAGCGAACCTTTTTTTGGAACCTAGAAAATTTTACGATTTTCGTCGTAAAATAGCCTCCAAATAGCGAGGTACATTTTCTATTCAATGAAATGCTCTCTTATATAATTCGATTTTTTTTCCCTCCGTATTCTTAAAAATACCTTATTTACTCGAATCTATGCCGCCCCCCAATGTTAATGCAACTGAAAATTGGGTGCGAAGGGAAAAAAAATTTATTCGATGGAGCATTTAGAGCAATTACAGCTTCATGCATGTATTTAAAGGTTTATAATATTGATAAAATAGCTAATTATTCACTTCTTATCAGTTTTCCTTTTAAATTTATTTTAATTTCATAAGATTGGATATCGATTTTTCAATTTTCAAAAACTCTTGTTGAGAATTTGGGGCACTACTCACACACACACAGAATCGATGGTGGCTTAGATTCGAATAAATACGGTTTTTCTAGACCTTCGTATGATGTAATGATTATAAGGTTTTAGTGAAAGCGGTCACCCCAAAATGTCTTGGCGGTCCACCGGTCGATCGCGATCGACTTAATGCCCACCCCGGCTCTAACCACTAGGTTACCCTCGGCCCTAAGATAAGTATTAAATTTTGTTTATGTTACTTTAAAATAATATAGTTTTTAAATAAATTACTTTTAAATAAAAATTTTTTTCTGACTTAAAATATTTGATTTTCGATATGAGGACTCCCACGTAGAGTTATTACGCCCCCCTAGAAGAGGTGCGCCCCACAGTTTGAGAATCCACTGCCTTTGCTTGTTATAACTACCCTAGCTTTCACCAATAATGTTAGAATGTTTTGCTAACATTTACACTTTTAAGTCCTGGGGCTTAATATTAGAGGAGAATTGTCTTGAATTATTTATCTAAAAAGCTTCTAAAGCAGGATTTAAGAAATGCATTTTGAGATTATTCGTCTTCTAAAGCTCAGTCAAGATAAAATTAAAGTGAAGATAATATATATATTGCGAGATAATTTTTCAATTATAATTTTTTTTCGGCCTAAAATGCAGGGGCGTAACTACCGCCGTATCAATGATACGGGGCCCCGGGCTACAGGTACCCCAACATATGAAAACAAAAGAGGCGTAACATGTTAAGCCCCCTCCTCCCAAACAGGGGTTTCCAAGAAATTTTGATACAGGGCCCACTCAGGACTACCTACGCCAGTGCTAAAATGGCAAATGAATCGTTTAACCTTTTAAAAAAAAGTCGTAAGATGATGAGTTTAGGTACATCAGACCTCTTTTATGAGGGGGGGTTACATTCTGAAAATCCCGTAGACGGAAGCACCGAGGGGTAATCTCTATGGTAAAAAATAAAAACTTGTTGGTCTGTGGAGGGTGTTTGACCCCTCTAGTACACCACTGAGATTCATTGCATTATTTTGTTCTTTACATCAGGTCTCTTTTTGAAGTGAAATCAATGGCGTACTCGAGGTGGGGGGTTCAAACTACCCCAGAGACCAACAAATTTTTAATTTTTATAATATTTTAAGCGTTACGTAAGAGAAGTCTGTACGCCAATGAGTGAATTTCTAAAGGAATAATTTACTTAGTTTTATAATATACCCCCCAACAGAAATGAGTATATTTGATGAGATCTCAGAAAAAGATTAAATTACAGTAACTTATTATTTACTTAATTAAAAAAATGACGCATTCCAAAAATGAACATTTCTACGGTCACAAATATTCAAGGTAATCATCGTGGCAAAACAACGATATTATCTTCTGTTTTCCAGTGCGAAATGTAAGTGTTCATAAAAGATTATGTACGTTTACATTTTTCTTTCTTTACGCAAATAATCATTAAATTTGATTACAAATAGCCGGGATGTATTGAAAACTTTATTTTATTCAATAAATTGCGCAGCGCTGTAATTGGATGAAAGTTGAAAAGAACGGGGCTTTCTTTTATAAGCGTGAGAGAGCGAACTGCACAATTTGTTTTCTCTTTCAAAAACACTAAAACAATCGCATTAGATGTAAAAAAATCGTTTTATCCGCTTTCTATAAATATTCGAATTTATTATAAATGAACGAGTGGTAGAATGGAAGAGTACAAAAGCAAACAAAAGGTAATCTTGATCTAGTAATATTAAAATGGAAATATTTCGACTGAAGTTAAAAGAAAGGATTGTGATCGAAAAAAGTTAAAAATAGTACGTAGTAAGTTTTCCATAAGTCCAAAGTCATGTGTAGAACATTTCTAAATTTAACAATAAATTATTTTATAGACTGCATACTTATTTTTCTGGAAGTTGACATTATTGGATTTTTTTGAATGATCACTGCAACAGTTAACTATGTGTAAATATGTTTTGTGAACGCTGATATTGGTTAAGCCTTGTATTAAGTTTTTTATACATAAACAAACGCGCGATAAGTAAAAGCGATAAGTCGCGAGGCTAAGAACTAGACTAAAATCATGATGGTCAAATTATAAATGTTATGTGTTTACCATTGAATTCAAAGCTGATGTTACACTTTTAAATCTTCTTCTTGAAATCAATAAGTCCAGAAAAAGTTCCAAATTTGATTATAAGATAAATATGCTTATGTGTTATATATATATATATATATATATATATATATATATATATATATATATATATATATATATATATATATATATATATATATATATATATATATATATATATATATATATATATATATATATATATTTGGCCGTGGTAGCCGAGTGGTATGGGTATCGGATCGTGGCTTGCCTTGTTTGCCTTGTCACGAGTTCGAACCCATTACCACTAAAGACCCGCCGTGTGTAGGACAGCGATGCACGTTAAATCTGTCGAGAGCTGAAACGTCCTCCCGTTGGTGTGGTGTGGTAGTTAGGAGAGGGAGGTGCCAGCTCAGGTGTCGTCCATGTCACTTGACCCTGGTTCAAAATTACGTGGTCCGTCGCCAAAAGCCCTCGTGTAGTCGAACAGTGCGACGTTAAAATTCAATCAATCAATCATATATATATATAAGATTCTTCAAAAAAAATTTTAAATAAAAAAAATTCTTATATTATATGTCTACTTTTAAATTAAGTGCATTTTGTTTACTTATGTGTTATAATATTGTTAACTTATATGTACTTTTCGAAAGATACTTTCTGCAAAAATCAAAAGTTGGCATCAATGAAACGATAGAACTGCTTGGCTGGAAACACGCGATTGCATTTATCACATGACTATGAAGTCATATGAATTTAGTTCATAGTTTTGTATCTGCGTTCACCAGGTATGTACACATAGTTAACTGCCGAATTGTTCATTAAAAATGTAATGTTTAGTGAATTTAGTTTTTCCTAAAGAAGACCTAAAGTAATTTTAGTTTTTCCTCACACTATATATTTACTAGCCGTTACCCACCCGCTTCACTGGGTATTTCACGATGTTGTATATATGTATACTGTTTACATATATATTAATTATTGATATCTAGCATTAAGAA